TTATGTAAATATAGTGGATGATTTCGAACAACCACAGACCATTCATCTCACCCGCCATATTCTGAATAGGATTCTTAGTGGCCATCCGTTAGCTAAGATTTAGTACTTATATTCAGATATAGATCTCTGTCAATCATCCTTATCATTTTGTTAAACCAAAAAATATTATATATCAATAATTACATCAAATTATTTAATATTATTATTTACACGAGAATGAAATCTTGTAAATAAAAGACACTACACGAACCGAAATTCTCGACTTTGGTTTAATATTAAACTTAAAATATTTTGAATATTACTCCACTCCAAATATACATTTAATCGTGGAGTGATAAAAAAAATTATCACTCCACGATTAAATGTATTGACTTAAATGATATAGAAGCGTTAACGCTGCCGCTGATAATTGCTATAATCTGTATTACGCATTGAATAAACATTTGCTCCTTATGTCAAAATTTAACATGAAATATAGTAAAACGTAAACATGAAATAGTAGATATTTAATAAAATAATGATAATCAAGTAGTATTTTAATATTACACACTTACGTAAGTATATTATAATTACTATAACACAATAAAACTACAGTCTTTAGAATTATTTAACTTTAAACACTAATTAATGGTTACGTTTTAGGTAAGATTCACGATACCGGAAACAACCAAATATGATATAGAGAAATCATTAATTATTTTTATCTATTAATTTATTATTAATTTACTTTCACTTTATTATAAAATTAGAATTAGAATGCTTATTCCGGTCGGGGCATTCTGCAAGAATTTCGATTTTGTTTTTGCCTTTCAAATGCAAATGGCACAAACATGAAACGTGGACTTAGGGGCCGTCCATAAATTACGTAAGGTATTTTGGAATGGGTAGGGGTCAAGGATTTCTTACGATTTCTTACTCGGGGGTAGGGGGTAATAGATCTCGTCTTACGTAATATTCTTATTTTTATGTTTTGCTCTCGTTGAGTGGTGGAGTTTTGAATTTGGCTTCAATTTGGCGGTTTCTATTAAGAACGTTCGTTGTACTAAAGCCATCTCGTATAACGTGATAAAATAATAACGCTAGCAGACTCATGCTCTACACGTTTTTTCATGGGAGAAAGGCCGTGTGGTTCTCTCTCTCTCTCTCTCTTTTTTTTTTATTAGAATAAGTGCACCACTCCTATGGGTGTATAACACTAAGATGTGTATAACACTAACATAAACCAAAGTACACGATACAAAGTAAACATAAAATTAGTATTCGGCTTTTAGTGAAAACTAAAATGTAAAACTAGATATTAGAAATTATAGTCTTTTCTTCTATGTTTTTTAACATAATTGTAAAAAGCATCAAACAGTGGCTTCTGAACAAGCTTATCGAGTGGACATGGCCACCTGAATCCAAGCGTAAAGATTTCTAATTTCAGAATAAGTGTATGTTGATCGTAAATTGGACAATGATAGATCATATGGCAAATGTTAAATCTCTAAGTGGTGATGAGATCCTACATTCAACACTAGGAAAATAAAGTCTTGTTATACTACCAGTTTTACTGTTCAACCATTGTTGATTCCACTTTTGCATAGCGTTGTCATGAATATAATTTTTAAGGCTGCTACGTGAGAGAGGGATGTGAGTGTAGTCCAAATCAGTGTCCTTTGCAGCTGACTTAGCCTCAATGTTGGCTTTTTCATTTTCTAGTATGCCAGTATGGCCAGGAAAATATATAAAAGTTATCTTATTTACAAGATTTTTAATATGGTGCTGGATATATGTGATTTTATTTCTATTGCAATTGGGATTTAATAGAGCTTTTAGGACAGACTGAGAATCACTGTAAATGTTGATAGACAGAGTTTTGTTTGGTAGTGAAGTGGCCCACTGAACAGCTTGGTAATCAGCATCTTCTTCAGTTTGATAGATGGAGGTATGTGGGAAGTATCTGTACCATCTAACATATTTTGGGCAAAATATGTCAGTTTGGAGGAAGATACAGTACTTGAGCCAACATGAAGGGAGCTTTTAGACCCATCTGTGTAGATATTAATGTCTGCATGGTTATCCATGGAGGAAGCAGATGACACCAAATGTACCCTGTGTACACTAAATGTGATCATCAACTTGTGTACATGGTGATGATCACATTTAGTAGGGTAATTGCAATGTGGTAACATATGAACAGCTGTAGATAGGAGTAGAGACTGTTGTTGAGCTTCGATGTTTGTGGTTCTGATGTAGTAGTTTAGAACCTTTTCTTACAATACATAGTGCAAAAGAAGGAGCTCTGCTAGTATCAGAGGCATTAGTAGAAACAGTTCTTAGGCACTTCGAAATTATGATGGCAAACTGTCTTTGAAGAGAGAGTAATTTAGTTGCTACTGAATTTTTACTAGTTACATGATCCAAGCTAGAGGCCGCGTAAAGTAGCATTGGTTGTATTGTCCCATTATATAGAGTTTTACAAGCTCTATGATCTATTCCTCAGGTTAACCACAGCCGGCTATACCTTAGGGCGAACGGAGCAGCCGCTCCACGCGCTAAGTCCTAGGGGCGCCTCAGTGGTAAAAAAATTTAAAGGAAAAAATGTTTTTTTCACTTTTCGATATTTTAATTGCAAGCGTGTGGCCAGTATGTGAATGGTTTTATCTGTTGAGAAGAACGTGGGTCGAGTGCGTGGGCGGGGTTCCACCTCGGGCGCCATAATAGTATCTCGCTCTATCCTAAAACTTGCCTAGGGCCGGCACTGCACCTAGCACATTTTAGCAGCATGTAATTTATTTTATTGACCTTATCCAAGATGTAATTAATATGGCAACGGAATGTGGTTTCTACTCGCTCTTGTTTTATTTTGTATAACGTTTCTGTTTACACGTGCACTAGCTTGTCGATCTATCAAAGTTTTTTGCGTCCTTTTGTGAAAATTAAAATTAATATAAAAATGAATATTATAACGTTGATTAATGATGGTGATAATAAAAATAATAATAAAATTGTTAATAATTAAAAAATAAAGTTCTTAAAATAAATTATTCATTCGAATTCATTAAATTTTTATATTTTTAAATTTGTTCACATAAAGTATTTTATAAATAATAGTACATATTAATTAACTAATTAATAATTATATATTTTGAACCTAAAGTTTTTAGGGTTTCATAAAATTTTTTTTTTTAATTTTGCTATAAAATCATGCCTAAATATTACGTAAGATAGGGACGGGGAGGGGATCAAAGAAAATATTACGGTTTCTTACACAGAGGTGGGTGTGGGTCTAGAATGGCCAAAATCGCCCTTACGTAATTTATGGATGGCCCCTTATCGACATAATTAGTGTGTGTATACGTTGCTTACTACATATTACTGACTGCGATTAATTGATGAAACTAGAAAATATTTCGTAGTATCCGAGCAAAGACATTGGCGTCCGTGCCGTAAGAAGTAATATCCACGAAATATTGAAGGCGTTGATCTCAAGATGCCGAATTATCTTCAGATTAGCTACGGAAAAAATTAAATCTTAACCTTAATTAATAAGGACTGTCCAAGAGCTTTTTGTTCATTTATTTAGAGTTTCAAATGTTAACCTTCGATTCCTTATTTAGGCCTAAGTGTTTCTGAAGATGCGTAGCAGAGTAAAATGCCTTTGGATTTTATTACTTATTATAGATAAGTTTATGTAAATATTAAACAACATTATTCATAAAGTATTTATAAAAATCAACGAATGAACGACAAATGAATAATTTTCGTTAGATTTCTTTCATGAGATTTAATTTTCGAATATTGCAAATCTACAGTATATTAAGAGTAAATGCAGAAACGTAATGGCGCATCAATTCTCAAACGATTTTCTTGACTTTATTGCCGATTTCTTGTAGTGAATTTTGAAAGAATGCTAATTCTGAAACTTGCAATATTCAGGTCTAGTTCTCTGAGTTTCCAAAATAATAGGAGAAATTACGAGACGATGTTCTTATCATTCATTTCAGCACACATAAAGTATACAGTTGGTTACTTACAAGTAGAAAGGTAAGTATAAATTATTTATCATTTGCCTGTAACGTTACACAGCCGTTTATTTTCATATACAGTTTATCTCTAGATAAAAGTTAGGTAGTTGTTATAAGTTTCCTCTTTATCATTTCGCTTACAGGGGTATTAACTCTGCTCTGCAAATCATTTCTAAAAGCGATAAAAATTCATTAGATTATACAAATTTTTGTGATAAAATGTATTCATATAAACTGGGCAATCTTTCTTGACTTGGAAGATTTGTCACTTGGAAGTCGAATACAAAAATATGCAAAATCTATGGTTAAAAAGTAACTTGTTTGTAACTAAGAAAAGGCTACAGGTTTGTTTTGTGTAAGAACACGGTTAAATAAGTTCTATTGAAAGAAGTATTCGAGGATATTTGTCAGATAATTAATCATAGTCACTCAAAAGATGCACTGACTCCCTATCTTGAACATTACAAGGAGTTTTGGGCATGGCATAATATAATTTATTCCAAAAGTTTTTCTCACCCCATCGCAGATAAGTAGTGGTTTGAAGATATAACAATATCTCGGGGTCTATATCATCATCGGGAGGTAAATCTCCCAAGATGATTACGATTAATCGGTTCAGTCTTTCTTCTAAGACTTGATGATGAGCGCTTTTAAATTCCAGTCGACACCATTCGCTGGATAAAAAATTCCTGAGAAAATTGTAAGAAATCTTTTATTATGTACAGTGAATAAAAGAGAATTTTATAAATGTACTTACTGAGATAGAATCAACACTGTCCTCTTGCTGGCTTTTACTGCATTGATGATATTGTCTTGGATGTAAGACCCGGGAATAAAATGGCGATAGTGTATGCAAAGATGAAACGATTTCTCTCCGTTTTCTAGATTTGGAGCCAATATATATTTCACGAACGATTCGTCCAATCGACTGTACGATATGAATGCATCAAATAGCTTGTTTTCGTTGAAATCGTCTTCTTTGAAGCAGGAAAACCCTCGAGAATACATCCAGACTCGAATGTGCATTCTGTATTTATTATAGATGATCTTTCCACCGGCAAGAAATAGAAGAATCACTAATAACAATAAAAAGGGCCTTTAAAAATCAAATTTTAATTACAGTATAAAATTTCGAATTGAAAACGTTATTCATAATACATTTACCAGCAATTGCAGCTCCGATAACAGAATATAGAAGAATAAAAGAAGGACATAACTGTAGTTCGGTTAAAGATATAATTTTGTGCATTTTAAATTTCACATTATTTTCGCTGCATCTTGTTTCGTCAACATCAATTATCTAGAAAACAAATTGGGAATGATTAATTGACTAAATGGCAAAACTTATTGGATTATAATCAATTACGGTCATTACTTTGTTTTGTTCAGAGAGTATCCATTTCACGAAAGGCAACGTTTCGCAGTCGCATATCCAAGGATTTTTGGAGAGAGAAATGGATTCTAAATACTGAATTTGAATCAAATTGACAGGAAAACGAGTGAATTTGTTGTTAGATAACATTAGAGATTGTAATTTTAAATCAGAAAGATTCTGCAATGAAGTAAAGTTGTTGAAATGAAGCAAAAGATGTTGTAGATGACTTAAATTTCCCAGAATTTGCGATGGAATAACTTGTATTTCATTGTGACTGATATCTAAATAATTCGTCTTTTCTGGAAATCGATCTGGAAATTTTTCTAAATTTCTATTGGCACAATTGACGTTGATGTACCAATCTGTCAAATTTGCGTGGCACTGACATTTACAATTGTCAGGACAATCAGTTTTCCATTCTACAACATCAGACAGAGTAAGATTTGATATTTGTTTGTGCTTCAGCCATTTTGGTTTTTTACAGTAAACCTTGTCGAATTTAAAACGATGATCCAAGACTGCTTCTATCAGCCATCCTATTCGACAATCACAAGTTATAGGATTCTCTAAAGAAAAAGACAAATCAATTAAGCAACAACTAATATATAAGAAAATAATTTTTAATAATTAATATTTCTAAACAACTTGCTTCTTAGTTCCAACATCTTTAGAGAGACTTGAAGAGAAAATGTTTCTTCTGTGAGGGTCTTCAGAAAATTATTTTTCAATGATACATATTGAAGATTTTGTAGATTCTGAAATGCCTTTTCTACAGATATTAATTTGTTGTAATTCAAACTAATTGTATTAATGCTTAGAGTTCTCTGAAAGTGCTTGGGGTCCAAAACAGTTAGAAGATTGTCATTCAAATATAGAATTTCCAAATGTGGCAAATTATCGAGAGAGCCGTTAAGAGTAGTGATGCGATTGTTAGATAAGAGGAGTTTTTTTAAATTGTACAATCCACGAAAGCAATCTTTTTCTAGATATTCGATTTTATTTTGGTCTAGATTTATAATTTTAAGTTTATTATTGTTGAAAAATGTATTGCTTTTAATTATGGTTATTTCGTTTCCATCTAGAAATAAAGTTTTTAAATGTTTGTTATAATTAAAGCAATTTTCGATATCGTTTATTGTGTTGTTACTTAACAACAAAGTTAGAATTCCTGAGGAACGTTTGAACAAATTTTTGATATCTCTAATTTTATTTGTAGCAATATCAATTTTTTGTAAGGTCATAATATTAGCAAAAAGGTCATCGTCTAAATATTCTAATCGGTTGTTATTTAATATCACTTGACGCAGTTTTATCAAATTTTGAAAAGCACGAGACTCTATTCTAATCAAATGGGTATTTGTTAAGTACAACGTGTTCAATTGTGGAAAATTGTTACCAAAACTGTTTTCGTCTATAACTTCAATAGGGTTATTACTCAGTAACAGTGATTGCAATGAATATAATGGACGATCAGTGATATTCCGAATACTCCTAAGTTTATTATTTTGTAGTTGTATAATCTGTAAAAGATATATATGTAAGCATATAAAATATAAAACAATCGATCACAGTATTTTATAAAGTTGTTTTTACCTGAATGGTGAACGGATGATCGTCCAGTAAACCTTTGACGCTTTCTAATTCATTATTTAAAAGAGTTAAAGTCTGTAATCGTTGCAAATTTCTGAATGTCGTTGGACCGAAAATTCTGATTCTGTTGTTAGCTAAGTTCAATACTTTCAGTTCGATCATATCGACGAATGCGTCGGGGTCTACGTAGTGAATTTTATTTTGTTTCAAAGAAAGAATCTGTAGTCTGAATTTCCTCAGTTCTGTACCCAGCGCGTTCAGTTCTCCCCTTTCCATCCATAAGCATCTTAGCGTGAGATTTAAGAGTTTAATCGATGTTGGAAAAGACAGTAAACGTGTGTTATCCAATCTAAGCTGAATGAGATGATTGGTTCCTACGAATACGTCATTATCCACAGATCCTATCGTCGATCTTCTTATGTATATGTTCATGATGTTCAACCCTGCAAAAGCATTAGCTGGAAGCTTATCGATGGAAGAGTGAGAAATGTATACGTGACTAATCGATCGATTGGAGAATTTTTGTCTGACGATGTTCATCAGTTCTGTAAAGTTTCGAAGGTTGATGCAATTAATTGTAATATAATCGCCATTCATACTACAATTGCAGTGTTTTAGCTCTCTGCAACTGATTTCGTGAAAATTGTCGTGAGTGCCATGAATTAAAAGTTCACTTGTGTTCTTTGATATTTCAATTGAAGTAATAATATTCAGATTTGTTGCAATTTGAATGCAAATCAACGTCACATTCCTGGTTAGTGTTTTCATTTTTCTGAAATAAAAATTTCAATAAAGTTTATTAAAATTATTAAAATCAGTATCTTAAAGACATGAATTTATTATTGATAAATATGATAAAATCTTCTCCAAGAACATTTGTCTATTACTTCAAATACAACTTTCAATGATTAGAAGTGAATATTGCTTATGTTACTTTCTCTTCGAATTGATAAAATATAATATATAGGTTACAGGATCCCTACACAAAGTATAGAAATTAATATTTCCGAAGCCATACAACAAAACGGAAATAATCATACTGTGTTGCATGTCTCAAAGGGGTATCTTAAATCATGACAAAATTTAATATCTCCATTTCACTGATAGCAGAGGGCAGGTAGAATTTCAAATTTCAAATGGGTCCATAATTTTTAAGTTAAATGCAATGATATATCATTGCATTTAACTTAAAAACCAAGTAACTTCTAATTAAAGCATTTCTTTCAAAATTAAGCTATCAAATATTGTAACTCTGTGGATTTATTCCCAAATTAAAAAAAAAAACAATAATATTAATTGTTCGCTTATTATTGTTATTAAAAACAAGTTAGAATGAAAGAGTAATAGCTGTAATTGTATATGCTTAACTCTTAGTAATTTCTCTCGTCAATTTCTGTACGACGATACACTTTGATGAAGTAGAACTAATATGGTTTTGCAGGACAATCTACCTTGTTTATCAGATCTCACTTCATTAGAATTTTTATAAATCTACGTAAAAGATAAAAAGATTAAGTGTGATTATAATTATAACTGAAGAAGACACGAAGCATCTACTGTCAAAATATATACTACCATAGAACATACAAAGCAAAGAACACGTGGTACTAGTGTAGTACCTAATATCCTAGGGCCTATGCGAAATATGGTAGTTACCCTATACAAATGCTTAGATAAATGAATTATATTTTAGGTGATGAATAGCAGTATCTGTCTGTCTGTTCTATAGACTATCAGATAGAAAAATTGAGAATAAAATACTTCTAAAACAGTAACCATCTTAGACCTCGTGTGATTAGTTCCGACAGCAAAGTCACTACTAGTGGATACTGCTATTAATCATTGAAAACAATATTAATTCAGGAACATTAAACTAATATAGTACATTTTGGATATTTACCTTATTCTATCAATCCGATCCAATAATTCCATTCAAAATCACACACCAGAACAAAAACTTCAGGAGCCCGCACGGTAACCGAATGGATAAAGCCACAGGTCAGAACTACTCGGTTTTGAGTTCGCGCTTGATTTACTGCCTGACGGGTTGGAGCTTGCCGGGTCGTCACGAGGTCTAACAGCGAAATAGAGGCCAGTTTCTTATAAAAAAGATTCTCTTGGAAGACACCACTTCGCATTTAGCTCTTATATTACATTGCCATATCATATATAATAACAATAGATTATCAAAATTTTAATTTTAATAATGTAATACTTTAAGCGGAAATAAAAATAATATATCGATTGGGCTACAATTTGAAAAAAATTGTAGACCTATAAATTCCCATTATCGTCCGTCTGTCTGACATTTCATAATCGAAAACGGAGTTAGATAGATGGCAAGTACGTTTAATATATGAATTTAATTTATGAAACTATTAAATAATGGTATATCAATAGTCTACCAAGAGGAAAAAATCCAAAGTAAGCATCTAAGCAGTTCGTTTAATTAAATAGCTATGTATTTAATTAGCCCGAAAATATTTTGAAGCTATAGGATTATATCGATTATGAACTACGACATTTTTTGTAATTTTTATGCCGATTTTCTTCCTTTAATTTAAGCTTAAATGTTTTAAAAACTTGTTTAAATTATAAATATTTAAACTATTTTATATTCAAGCATCCAATCCTTCGAAACTCAAACCGTGCGAGAGATGTTGGAATCCTTAAAGTAATGACTAAAATTTCAATACTCCATCTCAAGGGCTTTTCAAAATATTAAAACGATTTAATTTTATATCTAAAATAAAATATCCAAATTATAAAATTAAATTGTTACCTTTATGAAAGGATGAAGATACATCTAGCCTTTGGGCATGGAAATTTACTAAGGAAATCAAGAATAAAATGATTTACCAAGCCTTGTTATTATCTATTTCCAAGAATAAAAATGGAGTCGAAGTGCAGGATCTTAAATGTATATTAATCCCCCGCCATAGATAAGAACAGAATAAACAGAAACACCACGTTGTATGACGTGCTGTTTCTGAATCACACGTCGCGTGACGTAATTTTTTTATAATCTCAATTTTTTTGCAAAATGTCGGAAATTATAAATAGCTTATGAGTTCGAACGCATCTTATAATTTTCTAATTTATATTTTGCTTCGTAATAAACACGAAACTATTTTTCTTCGCCTGTACACATTAGAAAATTATTGAAGAATTTACAAATGAATCAGTTTAGTTTAATTATAAATCGTTCGTTAAGTTTGTCACTAAACCACTTCATATTCTTACATTTTCCGACGTAATCTTAACGGAAATAAAGTAAATACTGATAAAACGTGTTATAGAATACGAAAGTATTTTCAAAGTAGAATATCATCATTTCCAGGATGTGCTGATAAACATCTTAATGTTGTAGTAGTTAATTCTGTTCAACTTAAGATAAATTAATTACAATACAAATTAGTGAATTTGTCTCTTACGAATGTCCTTAATAATGAAGTAAAGTTAATTAGAGAGAACGTTTTTCGATAATATTTGTTCTGATATGTTTGATCTGTCCCTCACCCTACCCCATAGTGGGGATGGCAAAACTTGATGGATATAATTAAAAAGGGCCTTTTTTTAAAACTCTTTCTGCTTTATGGGCACTAAGAGGGCCTCATTTTAGCAAGACCATTATGGGATTGGCCAGGCTCACAATGGGACGGCCGGTGGTGAGGGACGGGGCCCGACATATCCGAACGGACCACCCCCGAAAAAATTAAAAAAAGGTTGTTAGTGCTCGTAGGGCGAAAGAAAGATAATCAAACAAATTCGCGGGGTACAGGTGACATCACTGTCAGTGACTTAATCATCTGACAATAGATTATATGTTAACTGTCATCACGCAGATGAGAACTATTGTTGTGTGTTTCATATATACTTTAAATCATATAAACTTTTTGTTTGTTCTCGATTTATTTTTTATACTCTTTATTTAAAGCAAGGTTCATACATGCTATTTTAAAAATACATTCTGTCAATTATTTGTAAAAGCTGAAAAACTAAAATATTATGTGAGCCTTGCTTAGTAAAGCGGCTTTGTGATAAGTGAACCAATGACAGCCCATTTTTCTTTTATAACGTACTACGCCATTGGCTGGCTTATCCTGCTGTATTAAACTAACTCTTCTAGGCAACATGCCCAATAAGTTAAATATTTAATGTAGATTTGCTGAGCATCAGACGCGCAGTCAGACTCAGGGCCGCTTGCATAAAAGTTAATAAACTGCACAAGTTACTCAGCATCACTGACATCATTATTTGTACGCTTTCCTTTAGTTCGTTTGCATAGAGATACTGTACTGTACAAACTTAAGTTGGTAAGTCTGACATCATTAACAAATTCTGCTTCATTAAGTAGATAATACCCCAGTATTCTCATATTAACTCCAATAAGGTTTTCGTGGTAACATCGTTCAATTTGAAGAGATGTTTCTAAGTTCTGTTTACGATAAACTCAAAATACAAGAAAAGAGAATCATACGAACAATATCTCTAATCTGGAAGTAGAAACATTGATAAATTATAGAAATAAAACCCAAGTTTAAATATTGAAATCGGGAATACAGTAGGGCCTCGATTATCCGACTCAATTGGGACTGGAGTTGGTCGGATAATTGAAAAGTCGGATAACCGAAAAGTATGAAAAAATCCATTATTAGTGTAGTATATTATTATATCCCATGTAATTAGTATATTAGTATATCGCTATTAACCTATTTTGCGTTGAATTTTCATCGATGTTAAGCCTAACAAAAATTTTTTNTGAGCTTGCACAAAGTACTGTCTCACAAATCGATAATACTGTACAAAATATGTGCTCTACTGTTCCAGAAGAAATACTGTTAAATTACAACGATCCCCATTCCTGGCCTACTATCAGGGCCGGATTAACCCACTTTGGGGCCCTAGACATTTTCTTCTTACCGGGCCCCTTTCCCCTCTCACAAGAGATAGAGCACACAAAAAATATAAAATAATAAATAAAACTAAACTAAATAATGTGAAAAACTAAAACAAATCTTAAATTTTTATTAATAAAAAATATTCAATACACAACAATAAATTTTAGTTTTTCTAGAAAAGTTTGAAGTTTGTTTATAAATTTAAAAAATTGAAATTTATTTTATTAAATGTCTAACAAAAATTGTTATACAATAACAATATTATCTTAAAATATTGTCAACAAGACTATGTCTTGTTTATAAAATCGTATGCCTGCTGTGTTATCAGCTTAGAGGTATGAAGGAGTACAGTACATGTCAAGAGTTGCAATTTGGCACAGAATATTAAGTGCCCAAATCATGCGCGCATAAAAAAAACCAGACTTGTAGGTAGCTACCCAGAAGACCGAGAACCGAATCAAAGTAAAATACAAAATGGCGACTCTCTCTACAAACAGGCAAACCAAAGTCAGGTGGTGAGAGTACCAACCACAGTCGTTCTAATAAGTGAACTCTGACCCTAGGACTGAACACGTAGTATTTTCTTTGTTAAATAAAATTTGTAATTAATTTTGTAAATTTGGGAGTGCTTCAAATATGTTACAAGTAGGGTTTTTAACATTATCTAGTACTGTATAGTAAAATCGTGAAACTGATAAAAATTTGACGTTATATTAGGGTTGTCGTTACATCCGATAACGTTATAATCGGGTTAAACTGTGTATTGTTTGTGCAAAATAAAAAAAATAATTTCGAACGATACAATAGCCACGATTATTTTTATCAAAAACGGGAAATTTTCCCGTTTTTCATAAAATTCAACCCGGGCCGACGGGTTGCAACGGAGAGAAATTTCGAAATTGGATAGGTTAATTTCACCAAAAATGCATCGTGGACGACCTCGTGGTCGTGGCCGGCGAAGTTTGAACGATCGCGCCCAAAAGCAGCGATACCAAAGAAGATTGGAGAATGAGAACGAGACCCGCCTTGAGCGTCAAAGTGATTCCGCTTAGTAGTGAGTTTCCCAGACATGTCCCAAATATGGTTTTGCCTTTTTATTTGTTTAATTTAACCTTTTCGGTTAATATTTAAATAATATAACATTTTACCAGTATTATATAGTTGTCCAACAGAAAAGTAAACTATCTTATTTACAAATCTTTTCAAAATAGAGTTTGACTGGGCCCTTCTAAAAACAGAGCCTAGACATTTGTCTCATTTGTCTATTCGATAATCCGGCCCTGAGGATGGCCCATAAGTCTGGAACCATAGGAGTTATTTTTTTTATTCTCATATACTTCCTGTCGCTTTATTGTTTGAAGCTACAAAGATCACGTGTCTTATGGAAAACGCTTCTCTATTCTCACATACATTCATCATTGTTAATAGAATATAAGAAAACATTTGAGGATAAAAATATCCTCAAATATCCATTTATGTAAATTATCGTAATTCAGAAGTATTAAAATGCTTAATCATGTCATAAGAATTCAGATATTTTCGAGAATAATTACAATTTTTCAATTCATTTGTAAAACGTTTCGGCATTTAAAGATATTTCAAATCATAAATTGTTTTGAAGAAAAATAATAAATATAAACATGGCCGACGGTATTACATTTAATTAAATATAAAAAAATATAAAATTGCAACGTTTAACAATACTTTGTTTCCGTTTGTTCATCCGTCGTTCGCTCCAGTTGACAGTCCACAAATTTACAAACACGGAGGCGACCTTTCTTTAGAGGCTACTGCCTCCGCAATAAAATGCAAATATGGTAAAAAACGTCCTCTGGTGCTATTGCCATTTTCACATAAATTTGTGGACTGTCAACTGGAGCGAACGACGGATGAACAAACGAAAACAAATTATTGTTAAACGTTGCAATTTTATATTTTTTTATATTTAATTACATAAATTGTTTGTTTAGAAAAAGCATTAAAGCATTTAATATAATGCATTGGAAATACTTCAAGATTTAAATGGAAACTGTTAGACAGACAAATTAACTTCCTCGTTTTTATGTAGTCATTTATATTCAAGGATAGTTTACGAAATCAATTAATTCCGAGAAGATCAATAAGACGATTTATATTTAAACGAAATGACTTATAAAACATTTTGAAAAAAGATAGAACGTGCGATCAGGAAATAAGCAATGCATTAATTACAGTCTATAACATACTCAAAAGCAACATATGCATTTATATAATATTGAAATATATCCTTTTACATAAACATTTTGAATAAAATATACAATAGTAATTTTCGGGATTCTTCATTTTTCGATTGTGTTAGCGTCTCGAAATAATTGAAACTTTTAGAAGAGGACAGGATCTATACAACTTTGTGCTTGTCCAGTTCATTTCAGTGCAGGACGATGCAACGAAAACGAAAACGACCTACTCGAAGACACTCCAACGAAACTTTCCTTCGATTTTTCCCCAAAGTGTTCATTTATCTGTCATTAACTTTCGATCCTTTCAACTATTACGACAAACATTTAACATTCCTCTGCTACACTAATTCGAGCTCCAATCGATATTACATATGCAGCAATTTAAGCAACATGCAATACGAAAAGGAATAAAGTTTACAATTATTCGTTCGATTCCCGTTCGTAGCACAATCACACCAGCTTATTGTGGATCAGCAGTGTCCCGAATTAAATATAAACGATCATAATTATTCGAATTAATTTTATAACGAAAAGAAACTATCGACAACGAAAGCATTCTCGTTTCAAATGAGAAATAACAATTCATATATTTATTTTTATTTCAAAATTTTATAATTAAATATACGAATAATTGACAAAATAAGTACTGTAATGCAAAGAACACATTGTATCAAACGTATAATTCAGTATTTCATATACAAGGCGAACAGTTCTTATTGATTTAAAAATTGCCCATTGTTAAGATTTTCAAAGAACTTTTACTGTTTATTATAAAAGAACAGCATTCAATAGAATGCACTTATTGTAATCACTTCCA